AAAAAAAAGGTGAGAGAGATATGATGAAGAGAGTGTGAGAAGAAGATGAGAGACTAAAAAAAAGAAGAGAGAGGAGGAAAAGGAGAGAGTGAGAAGAAGAGGAGAGAGTGAAAAAAAAAGAGGAGAGAGGAGGAAGTGGAGAAAATGAGAACAAGAGGAGGACAGAGAAGGAAGAAGAGGTGAGATGAGGAAGAGGAGAAAGTGAGAAGAAGAGAGAAGAGGAAGAGGAGAGAGTGAGAAGGAGCGAGAGATGAAGAGAGTGTGTGAAGGAGAGAGTGAGAAGAGGAGGAGAGTGTGAGAAGGAGAGGAGAGAGTGAGAAGAAGAGAGAGAAGGAAGAGGAGAGAATGAGAAGAAGAGAGAGGAGGAAGAGGAGTGAGAAGAAAAGGAGAGAGAGAGACGAAGAGACTGAGAAGAGGAGAGAGTGAGAAGAAGAAGAGGAGAGAGGAGGAAGAGGAGTGAGAAGAAAAGGAGAGTGAGAAGGAGAGAAGAAGAGTAAAGAGAAGAAGAGGAGAGAGTGAGAGGAAGAAGAGGAAGAGGAGAAAGTGAGAAGAAGAAGAGGAAGAGGAGAAAGTGAGAAGAAGAAGAGGAAGAGGAGAAAGTAAGAAGAAGAAGAAGAGGAGAAAGGGAGAAGAAGAAGAGGAGAGAGGAGGAAGAGGAGTGAGAAGAAGAGGAGAGAGCAAGGAGAAGAGACAAGACTGAGAAGAAGAGGAGAGAGTGAAAGGAAGAAGAGAGTGTGAGAAGAAGAGGAGAGAGTGAGAAGAAGAAGATGAGAAAGGAGGAAGAGGAGAGAGTGTGAAGAAGAGGAGAGAGTGAGAAGAAGAGGAGAGAGTGAGAAGACGAAAAAGAGGAGAGAGGAGGAAGAGGACAGAGTGAGAAGAAGAAGAGGAGAGAGGAGGAAGAGGAGTGAGAAGAAAAGGAGAGTGAGAAGGAGAGGAGAGAGAAGAAGAGGAGTGAGTGAGAAGAAGAAGAGGTGGAAGAAGAGAAAGTGAGAAGAAGAGAGAGGAGGAAGAGGAGAGAGCGAGAAGAAGAGGGGAGAGCAAGGAGAAGAGACTGAGAAGAAGAGGAGAGAGTGAAAGGAAGAGAGCGTGAGAAGAAGAGGAGAGAGTGAGAAGAAGAAGATGAGAGAGTGAGAAGAGGAGAAAGGAGGAAGAGGAGAGAGCGAGATGAAGAAGAGGAGAGAGAGAAGAAGAGGAGAGAAGAAGAGGAGAGAGAGAAGAAGAGGAGAGTGTGAGAAGAAGAGGAGAGAGTGTGAAGAAGAAGAGGAGAGAGGAAGAAGAGGAGAAAGTGAGAAGAGGAAGAGGAGATAGTGAGAAGGAGAGAGTGAGAAGAAAAGAGAGAGGAGGAAGAGGAGAGAGTGAGAAG